ATCAAGAGAAAGACTCTGTCACTGGGACTAGCAGAAGTTTTACAGGAAAAAATTCCTGTGACTATAGGAAGAGAGAAGGGGAAATGAGCTGTAAAAGGCTGGCAAACTGAAGAATGGAGGACTACATTATCAGTTTGCTCATAGAAGAAATGGGAGAGGTGGTATGCAGTGGAAAATGGGAGGAGGGAAACAGATGGGGGTGTCTGGGATGGATCTAATAAAGCTGGGGGAGCCAAGCTGCTTCATCAGGGAGATGGACAAAGTGAAGGAGGAGAGGAGGAATCAGTGGCAGAAGTCATCCTCATTACAGAATTATTACCAAAGACATTTACACTTGTGAAGCAGAAGCCACAGGCAGGAAGCAGATGCTGTGGCGAACACAGGGTTGAGCACTGGCAAAACATTCACTGCTGTGAGAGGCAGGGCCTCATGCATCAAGAGCAGGGGTGAGATAATCAGCCAAATAACAGTAGCAAAGGAACAAGGTAAGGAGAGGATTTGAAAGTAGTCAAGAAGTCATCCATACTGCAGGTCACAGGTTGGCCAAGTACATGGCTGTTTCACAGCCTTTCCCCTTCCTTTTCTTTGCAGATAAAGTCACTCATGTCTTTCCCCATTCTTAAGCTCTATACCCTTTCATATCTAGTCTGCATTGACTTTTGCATGCCTACTAAAATGCAAGGAAAGCCACAGCATCAGTCATGTTTCCATGCACATGTATCCTAAATGACTCTTTGGGTCAGATCCTAAGATAATGTAAATTATCATTGCTTCAATTAAGTCACTAAAGGTAAATATATATATATATTAGCTGTGGACTTGAATATTTATGCTTCTGTATTTATATCTTACAGAGGAAAATTTCTATAAGGAGAACAGTGTCTAGCGACTGCTTTCTATTCAGTATCTTTCCCTTTCCTTTCTACAGGAAGATTTTATTGCTTTTATTCCACACTGTTTCTCTTTGTCCATCTCTTGATTTCATCAATTTGTTTCTTGCTGCTAGTTTTCTGGAATCCTTTCTCCCATATGAATATCCATGTTAATGGGCTCTTTTTTGTGCATCCTAGTTTAATGGTCTCTCTATACACCACAAACTTCCAGAAATGAAAAATGAGAATCCCATTTATGCTTCTCATCCTGTCCTTATATACAGTTGAGACAGTGGGGACTGTGACTGTGAGCAAAGGCTGAAACTTCACATCTCTGTGGGTACTTAGTAATAGAAAATATGTCCCTATTCTGAGCCATATGTCCTGTTTGTGTTACAATTGTAACCACAGTCATATGCCTGACGAGCCCCTTAACACCAGCAAAGGAAGAAAACAGTCTGGCTGAATTTCTTGTAACACATTTTACAAATAAATAGTTCTGTCACTATCCTATTCAAGTTCAGCCAGGAAAATAAGCATCTCAACACCCAATATTTCAAAGGAATGGGATTCTGTGTTTGTTTCTATATAGAAGTGTGTTTTTACTAAGGCAAAACAAAAACAAAAGAGCCTCTTCTAATAACAGTGGCATGTAAGATTAATGTAAAATAGAATGGTCAAAAATGTGTTTGATGAATGAGGTTAAGGATGGAAGCTTCTGTAGAAATTCAGCTAATGAGCCTTGGTTTATTAATCCCCTGTCACTGCTGCCAGGAATGTATCAATCATACAACACTTTTAGTGACCTTTCAGGCACAGCCAGGATAAAATGCCTGCAGAAAGGACAGCATTTTGTATGCTTTAAGAAACTAGCTCAGAGTCCACAGGGAGCTTTTAGCACAGTATGGACACCACAGGCTTTAGAGTAGTGAGAAACTGCCACCATCAAGAAAACTTGCTACAAAGAAATTACTGAAACCCTTTTGTATTGGAGTTCACTTTCTATTACCTACCTTTACCTACCTTGCAAAGTTTGTTGTTGCATGTCAGAAGCCATTGTATGCCTACGACAGAGTCACAGTAGTACTCTCTGCTCTACCATCATTTGGTTACACACATGAGAACTTTCACTGTCAGTTGAATGCAGAAATGTCTCTACAAGCTTGCCTTGTTTGTCGCTTGACAATGTGGCTTGTTAACACTCTCTGTTTACTCTGTGCAACAGGGCAAAGACCCAAAGCATGCAGAGATATTCATCATGCATCTTTATCTCATTCCCACAGAAAATAGTTCTACTCAAAGAAATCTTTTTTTAACACGTTGGTTTAGCTTTCTGAAAACAACCCTGAAATCGCCCTTAAGACCTTTTGCCCCATGACTGCAAATCAGAGCATCTATGCCTGCAGCCATCTAGTAATGGTTTACCAGTTACTTGAATGGTCTTGGGAAGTGCACAAGAAATGTAAAGTCTGGCAAATGCATATAAGCAACATTTGTAAAGTGGCATGGATTGACACCAGTGAGACTCTTAATCCAACACAGATATTTTCTGGCTTGTGTTGTGAGAAGTCAAGAAAAAAAGAAAAAAAAAAGGAAAACTGTTCAAAAGAACAAAAAACCATAGCTACAGCAAAGACATTGTTTTTGCTGCAATCTTTGCATTTGAATAAGAGGGTTTTTATTTCCTTCCAGCCTAGCACTTCACTCAACAGTATTCCTACAGTGAGTTCTTCATTCTGTGCCTATAAACTTAGTATGTTTTCAAAGACATGATCAAATTGTAATAAAGTTATTCTGATGGTTACATACAGTGAGTAAGTAAGAAGCAACAAATGACATTTATCTTGATTTTAGCAGGATTTTGACCCTATGAAGGGTTTGTAAGCAGGCCAGGGAAGCACTGTCCAGATGCTGTCATCATAAACTATTTTCAGAATTGTCTATAGCTCTATTTGAAATTTAGTTATCAGCCAGCTGAGATGACATTTCAGATGGGATCCCACTGGGACCTCTGCTAGGGAAATAATTGTCTTTGTTATTTTTGTTAACAGAAAGGATGATAGAGGAGAGAACATTTGTAAAAATTTCAGATTAAACCAGACTGGGAGGGGCATGAGCACGTGCAAAGATAGGCTTAGAAGTCAAAATGATCTTGGGAAGTGGCTTGAAATCAAGAAATTCAATGCAGACAAGTGCAAAATAATGCCTGTGGGGAAGTATCAATCAAATGTCTTCAGATAAAAGACAGACTACTTGGCTAGAATACAGTTAGTGTCAAAACATAAAGATCTGGTTATTAAGCATTTTTATGATGCTGTTGACAAAAGAAGGAAGAAAAACCCAACAGAACAAAAAACCCACCATGTTATTCCAGGTAAGGTATAGAAGACTTACATGGCAGTTGTTCCAGTTAGTCCTGATTTGTGCACCAAATAGTAAGAAAAAGCATGAAGAAGGATCTTCAGGCTTGGAAATTTTGAGGCTTGGAAAACCTGGGCTATGAGAAAAATTTGAAAGAACTAGGTCTGCTTAAATCTCAAAAAGAGGGATAGCATGAAAATACTTTTTGAAAATGCTTAAAAGTAGATATGAAAGAAAGAAAATGGCTCATTTATCTTAGTATCCATAGGGAGACAAGGCCAAAATGTAGAAAAGTAGTTAATTCGCAGGAAATTGCATTTAAATTAGACATTAGGAAGTTAGGTGCAGGGAAAGGCAACACAGAGAGACTATAGAACCTCCTTCATTAGAGATGTCAGCAATTAATTTAGTAAAATATCATTCTGGGATAGGAGTATATGTAATGCTGCCACAGAGCACAGAATTGGCTAAATTATTTCTGCAGGGGCCATTCTTGCCAGGAAAAAAGGTAGATGACAGGTTCAACATGTCTGTGGTTACAAGTAAACGGTGGACAGAGGGGCACAAGAGTTGGATTTTGTAACATATCTGGAATGTGTGTGACTGCACTGATAAGTGTGGCACACATTGAGGGGTACTTTAGTATAAAATAACATCATAAATGCAAGTTTTAAGGACTCCAACCACTGTGAAAGTTCTCAAACCAGGGGTTACAGATTTACATTTTGTGATTTTTATATGGATACTACTGCATTTTAGATCCACAAGAAGCTATCCTTTATCAATGAACCCTCTTTTTTTTTTTTTTTTTTCGTCTTAATATACACAGAGACAGTCTGTCAGCAGCAGTTTCCAGACCTGTGGAAAATGCACTTCCATACCTGAGCTCTTTGGCCCTTTTCTACCAAAGTCAAATTCACATCTGCTATGTAAGAAGCAGTATTTCAGGGATGAGAGCTGCCCACAAATAACCCACAAAAGCCAATAGTTGGCTCTCCTGGTGCAAAGGAAGCAAAGGGTGCACTTTTACCTGTGTGAGGGAAGTGTTATAGCAGAGAAACAGAGGTTTTGGGCTCAGATGAGATTGAATTGCCCTGGAAATTGTTTAAAATAAACATGAGAAGACCAACTGGAACTGGTGGTGGTGTGAATTAACAAATAACTCCAACTTTCGCCTTGAGAGAAATGCTGGTTTCCTTAGATCTGTGAAGTCTCATCTTTGAAGCTCAGATAATTTGTTCCAACCCTCTGTTCGTGCATTTCAACCCAAATGTCAAAGCAGGGAATCAGAGAAACTTCTGTCTCTCAGACAGAGTCGAATCAATGTGCTCTCTCCTCTACATCACTGAACCACAGTATGACAGCAAGCCAGACACAGTGATCACAGTCAGAAGCAACGCATTCATGCCAATAAATAAATGGTTTTCAGCATCTGTAATATCTGAATAGCATGTTGCTTTGTACTCCAGTGAGGTGGTCCGTTTGAAAAAGAGGTGTGTGTGGCTATTTCTGACAGACAGATGGCTGTTATAAATCCTACATTGTCTTCCTGTGATTTTAAAATTAATTTTATTTTAAAATTAAAAGACAGATTTTGCCTTTCTCTATTTTTTACCCTTTTTCTGCATCTCCACAATTAGATGGTCTAATTGAACACATAATTAGGGAGGCCCATCAAAAATAATCTGTGTGCTGGGTGGCTCTTGAGTGATAGTGCCTATCACTTCTGAAAAGATGTTGCTAACGAAAGCTATTTCCCCCTTTCAGTTGATTTCATAGGTGGATTTGACTCTTATGGCTATCAAGGTCCTCAGAAGACGTCTCATTTACAGCTACAGCCCATGTATATGTAAGTACTTAACTTCTAAGATATTCTGCAGAGTGGCAGGCTGATGTTAAAGGATCATTAAGCTGAAAGATGACATGACTTAAAAATTCAGAATAGGCAGAAGCCTTTTTTGATAGAGTGAATTCAAGCTACACTTAAGCACCAACATTAGTCTTCTGTTGAATTATGATTTCTTAGGGCAGGATATAATGTGTCACAGTTGTTTAAATAACACCCGACTCTCACCTGATTTTCCCTCATTTTTATTCAAGCAGGTTCCACTCAGAAGCAATGAGAATTTGGTGTAGTAGAAAAACTAGTCAGATCTGACAAAAACGGGTTGCAAAAAAGCAGGTTTTATTAAGATTTATCAAAAGTTCAGCAACTTGCTAATTTAGTGGATGCGTTTAGCATTTGTCTTACCAGTGCATCTGTTCAGTGAGGCACCTCTGTACCTAATTTCCAGTCTCCACGTTTAAACAAACCAAAAACAAATGTAACAACATATGGCTTTTACAACCGTTTCTTATAGAAGACACTATTTTACCTAACCAGTGAGTGACAACTCCATCCACTGCCTAGAAGTGCAGCCTGATATATTTGGGGATTAAACAGGTAATCAAATCTCAACACTTACACACAACTGGAATACATTCACACTAAAGCTAACACCCAGCCATAGACCAGTCCAGGAATAATCATCTCCAAATATTACCTGTACGGATGCAAACTGCAATTCAGAAGAGTCCTGTCTGCCCAGATAAATCTTACCTCATTGCTGCAGCCTTTTGAAATGTCTTTTATTTACCATCACTGGCCTACACAGTAAAAGCACAGCACAGAACAGCTCAAAATGGGCAACATTTACTTTACTTACTTTTTGTTTCTCTTCAGAAGATATTTTTGAGGAAGAGAACTAAATACAAGCAAACAATATCCATCCCAACATACACTTCCATTCACCCCTGAATATAATTTAATTTCTTCTGATTAGCGGAAGCAAGTCTGCTAATGGATTAGTGGATTTTTGCATGGAACTTCCATTTACTCCTTTATCAGTGGCACAATCAGTTCTGTGGTAATGCTTAGGATCGGGCCCTTTGGGAGCTTTACTAGGAGCTTTTTAATAATCTCAAATTACAATAGTGCATATCTCCAATGCCATCTTAACTTCAGCTTCCCATCTGTCTGTGCTCAAGTAAAGATTTTTCACCTGCACTTTTGTCACAGTGCTGTGCATTTAGAAAGTGTTATTTCCTTCCTACTATTATGTGTGGCTCATAGGTACTTAGAACAATCCTAATCTTTTTTATTTCTCAGTATACCATACCTTGTCATCAACATATGGAGCCCTCTAGCTGAGATGTTATCCTGTTCTCTTTTTGCTCTCAGTGTTATTTCTCAGTATACCATACCTTGTCATCGACATATGGAGCCCTCTAGCTGAGATATTATCCTGTTCTCTTTTTGCTCTCAGTGTTTCTTCCAGAACAGCAGATTGCATTTACTGAGTGTCTTCATACTGACTGGAAAGAAAGCTAGACATGCGGAAAAAAATAAGTCAATATTTTTAAGCTTGTAGCTGAGATGAAGAGATATATGACTAACCCATGTAAACTGTGTTCCACCTTATTTCAATGCTGCATTCTCACTGGAGTATAGGTGATTTTGCTGTCTTAACTGAGAGACAGTAATGAGTATGTGAGCTGATGTTTTGTCCAATCAGCCCACAAGTATTGCCATGTCCCAGCCACAGTCAAAGAAAGACACTTCATGTTTCCCTCTGACTGCATAGTTTTTGACAAGGTTCTCTACAATTGTTACAGTCTCTCCTTAAGAGGTTTTTACAGAATTATTAATACCTTTCTGTTATTTACTGCTGAGGTGCACCAGGAGCACAGCACAATTGCACAGCACACTGCAGTTGCTCTGTAAATGTAGGCAGACCATCAGGTAGTAGAGTGACAAATTCAAATGTCAAATTAATCAAGCTGTAGTTTGATCTGCTTGTAGTAATATTTCCAGCAATATTACGTACTGGAAATCAAAACACACTGATATAACAGCAAGCCATGCTTGATGTCTTAAAACTATATTTGTTGGGAGGAAGGGTTTAGTTCCCTTAGGGATCTTGTTCACCCAGGAATATCAGTGTTAATCTCCATAGTATTCAAGGAGAAAAAAAAAAATGCAGGACTTTACTCTTTGGCCAATGTCCCGTGCATGTTACAATGCTTAGAATCTCTAGGGGTGAGTAAAAGTTATTAATCATTTAACATAGAAAGGGAGAAGAGAATTAATGGAATGGAATGGAGTGGAATGGATTGGAGTGGAATGGAGTAGAATAGAGTAGAGTAGAGTAGAGTAGAGTAGAGTAGAGTAGATACACCTTCTGCTTTATGGAGTCCATTACCATACTCTCACCACTGCCCAAGGTACAATCATATCCATCCAGGATGCAACTATACCCGTCCATATCCGTGTAGCTGTATTCATATAACTATTTCCACAAACTTATCAATTGCTGCAAATTGTCTTTAAATCCATAGGCAGCGGAGGATATATTAAGCATCATCCTGTCTAATTCCTGCAAAAGATCAAGAAAATATAAAGATAGCTTGTTGACACCTCTGCATCTTCCACTATTCAGACTCACATTGGGTGCAACTCACGTGGAGCTCTGGGTTTATAAAAGAAATAGGAGATATTTGCTAACGATATCCAAAGGCACAGTAACACCTCTTTTTGTTGTCTGTGGTGTGGAAGTACCTATAAGTGTGCTAGGCATGCTGCAGAAGTGAAGGAGAACACATGGCCTTGGTTTTGAAGAGCTTATCAAAATAGTATCAGCTTCTAATGGTTGTATAGATTCTATCAAAATGCAAATTTCAGTGTGTATTTCAGTAATAAGCACAAAGAACCCCCTATATATTTACCAGATGGATTCATGTACAGAAACAGTACAAATCTTGACATAGAGTTGTGTAGCAGGTCTCAGTCATCACCTACGTACTGCTTGCTGACATGAATTGATTTAGTGGATTGCAGTGACAGAATTCCATCAACACTAATTTTTATTTCAATTCAAGCAAGACAGATTTACATCCAAGTGATTTAAATCAATTTTAACTGTTTTGTACATGCATGGTTTAATTATTGTCCTGAAGGAATGCTGGGTTTAGTAATTGCTAACTGTTAAGACACACTGTTTTGTAATCAGTTTCCTCCTGTGTGATAAAGTTAGCACTTCATTTTGTTAATTTGGAGGTTGTACTGGACCTGGACAAACCTACATGTGCAATTAAATAATTGTATTGATTTATTCAGGCTCCTCATGTTTACATTTCTATTGTGTCAGGATGTTTTTATCTAAAGAATTATTACTTTTTGTTATATCAATCAAGCTGTACTTATAGGAACATTCCAAATCAGTTTAAACACACACAATACATTTGTGTGGAGTTTAATCAGTTATGCAAAACTACCATAAATGAAGAGGATACTTAAGGAAAAAAAATCTTGATTTACAAAAAAGTGTTATCTGTAGATAGTGAATTGAGGTGACTATCTCTGGCTACTGTTCCCTTAAATAGTGTAGAATTATTGCATTCAGGCTCACTTTGTTTCTTTTCCCTATATTGGCTTTGAATTCCAACCACAACTCTCCTTATCATCTCTCCCATTTTCACACTTAATTTAAATCAGCTTACTTTTTGAAGAGAAAAATATATTCAATTTAAAATTATGTTTTAAGTAAAACACGGGTGTTTTGGGGGATAATTCTTATCATGACATTTATCTACCTGTTATAAATGGCTTTTTTTATTATTATTTAAGTGCCAATAGTGTGCTCTATGCTGTACAAGCCAAGAAGCCTAGACAGTCCCTTCAAAACGAATACGCTTTTTAAAGAGAACAGGACAGAACCGGTACTCATGTACCTCCTTGAAGTGTGGCCACAGCTGATGTACTAAAAAGCTTCCTGGCATTCTGTGCGGGAGATGCCAGTGGTCATTTCCAGACCATGGAACAAGAACACAATAAGATGGTGGAAATCAATTGTCAAGAGAAAGTTCTGCTCTTGGGAGGTGACTGAGGAAGGTGACTAAACACTCCATGGCACTGATTCTGCTGCACATGAAAAATATAGTTATAGTTGTGGAACAAGACTTCACTGCATGATCACTGCTCTAAAAACAGTAGGAAGGAGGGAGGGGAAAGAGATTTTTCTTTATGTTTTTCACAATAACCTTGTTTGCTCAAGAAAAGAAGAAGTGAAGCAAAAAAAAAAAAAAAATGCATGCATGTCTGATGCTGGTACCAAATGCACTGGAGAAATTGCTCAAAAGCAGTTCAGCCCTGAAGTGAGGCTTGCTTTCCTTGTATTCGGTGAACTCTGAGAATCTTTGCATTATATATATATATATACATACACAGCCACTATGTATGCGTAGAGACACACACACCTATGTGCACACAAACCCCTTTATATATATGTGTGTATATATATACGCCCACTTACGTGTATTCTGCCACACAAGACTATTGATTGTTTGGCATTGCTTTTCAGTAGAAGGCACTTAGTGATAGTTTCTGGCTAACGGGATCCTATCTTTCACTAGATGTTGTAGAGATTTCAAGTCAGTAACTCAGGGACAGAGGAATGTAGGAGTGGTTAATGTATTTGCCTTAGTACCTGAACCCATCTTTTCTCTCTGTTGAATTTACGTGTTCATTATGCTGGCCATGGTCTCCTGGTCTAAGACTGTAGGTATTTGTCGAGATAGTTGCACATACTGAACTTACTACTTACTTTACCATTCGCTTGAAGTATAAATGAACTATATGCAAGACACAAAAACCAGCACCTAGAATACAACCACTGTGACACTCAGCAAGTTCATGAAGTACAAATCTGCTGTGTTATTGTCTCCTTAAAATTCATGTTTGTGGGATTCAGACCATTATGGACAAGATTTCATTTAAATAAACTACCAGCTAAGCCTTGCCTAGCAACCAACAACA